TATAACAATGTGGAAATTTTTTGGGGTTTCCGCTTAAAAATTCGAGTATTCCTCTTACGATAAGCAGCTTCAAGCGTCAATTTCTAGTGTACTTTAACGGAACGTCTCTTTCGTTACTGGCCTGGGCAAGTCCAGTTTTAATAAACCGGGATACAGGTTATGTGCAGTTTTTGTAGAAAAACCCTTGTAATCAGCTTTAACCTTCAACGCTGCTGCATCATGCTAAGAGGAGTTAGGATAGTTATTGCAATTTGTTGGTGCGAATTTGCTCATTTTATTTTAATTCTTATTTTGAACCTACCCCTTATTTTGAAGCAACTTATTTTGAAGCAACTTATTTTGAAGCAACCTCTTATTTTGAAGCAACTTATTTTGAAGCAACCTCTTATTTTGAAGCAACTTATTTTGAAGCAACCTCTTATTTTGAAGCAACCTCTTATTTTGAAGCAACCTCTTATTTTGAAGCAACCTCTTATTTTGAAGCAACCTCTTATTTTGAAACAACCTCTTATTTTGAAGCAACCTCTTATTTTGAAGCAACCTCTTATTTTGAAGCAACCTCTTATTTTGAAGCAACCTCTTATTTTGAAGCAACCTCTTATTTTGAAGCAACTTATTTTGAAGCAACCTCTTATTTTGAAGCAACTTCTTATTTTGAAGCAACATCTTATTTTGAAGCAACCTCTTATTTTGAAGCAACCTCTTATTTTGAAGCAACTTATTTTGAAGCAACCTCTTATTTTGAAGCAACCTCTTATTTTGAAGCAACCTCTTATTTTGAAGCAACCTCTTATTTTGAAGCAACCTCTTATTTTGAAGCAACTCTTATTTTGAAGCAACTTATTTTGAAGCAACCTCTTATTTTGAAGCAACTTCTTATTTTGAAGCAACCTCTTATTTTGAAGCAACCTCTTATTTTGAAGCAACCTCTTATTTTGAAGCAACTATATTTTGAAGCAACCTCTTATTTTGAAGCAACCTCTTATTTTGAAGCAACCTCTTATTTTGAAGCAACCTCTTATTTTGAAGCAACCTCTTATTTTGAAGCAACCTCTTATTTTGAAGCAACCTCTTATTTTGAAGCAACTCTTATTTTGAAGCAACTTATTTTGAAGCAACCTCTTATTTTGAAGCAACTTCTTATTTTGAAGCAACCTCTTATTTTGAAGCAACTTATTTTGAAGCAACTTCTTTTTTGAAGCAACCTCTTATTTTGAAGCAACCTCTTATTTGAAGCAACTTATTTTGAAGCAACCTCTTATTTTGAAGCAACCTCTTATTTTGAAGCAACCTCTTATTTTGAAACAACTTCTTATTTTGAAGCAACCTCTTATTTTGAAGCAACCTCTTATTTTGAAGCAACTTATTTTGAAGCAACTTCTTATTTTGAAGCAACCTCTTATTTTGAAGCAACTTATTTTGAATCAACCTCTTATTTTGAAGCAACTTATTTTGAAGCAACCTCTTATTTTGAAGCAACCTCTTATTTTGAAGCAACCTCTTATTTTGAAGCAACCTCTTATTTTGAAGCAACCTCTTATTTTGAAACAACTTCTTATTTTGAAACAACCTCTTATTTTGAAGCAACCTCTTATTTTGAAGCAACCTCTTATTTTGAAGCAACCTCTTATTTTGAAGCAACCTCTTATTTTGAAGCAACCTCTTATTTTGAAGCAACCTCTTATTTTGAAGCAACTTCTTATTTTGAAGCAACCTCTTATTTTGAAGCAACTTATTTTGAATCAACCTCTTATTTTGAAGCAACTTATTTTGAAGCAACCTCTTATTTTGAAGCAACCTCTTATTTTGAAACAACTTCTTATTTTGAAGCAACTTATTTTGAATCAACCTCTTATTTTGAAGCAACTTATTTTGAAGCAACCTCTTATTTTGAAGCAACCTCTTATTTTGAAACAACCTCTTATTTTGAAGCAACTTATTTTGAATCAACCTCTTATTTTGAAGCAACTTATTTTGAATCAACCTCTTATTTTGAAGCAACCTCTTATTTTGAAGCAACCTCTTATTTTGAAGCAACCTCTTATTTTGAAGCAACCTCTTATTTTGAAACAACTTCTTATTTTGAAGCAACCTCTTATTTTGAAGCAACCTCTTATTTTGAAGCAACCTCTTATTTTGAAGCAACCTCTTATTTTGAAGCAACTTATTTTGAAGCAACCTCTTATTTTGAAGCAACCTCTTATTTTGAAGCAACCTCTTATTTTGAAGCAACCTCTTATTTTGAAGCAACCTCTTATTTTGAAGCAACCTCTTATTTTGAAGCAACCTCTTATTTTGAAGCAACTCTTATTTTGAAGCAACTTATTTTGAAGCAACCTCTTATTTTGAAGCAACTTCTTATTTTGAAGCAACCTCTTATTTTGAAGCAACTTATTTTGAAGCAACTTCTTATTTTGAAGCAACCTCTTATTTTGAAGCAACCTCTTATTTTGAAGCAACTTATTTTGAAGCAACCTCTTATTTTGAAGCAACCTCTTATTTTGAAGCAACCTCTTATTTTGAAACAACTTCTTATTTTGAAGCAACCTCTTATTTTGAAGCAACCTCTTATTTTGAAGCAACTTATTTTGAAGCAACTTCTTATTTTGAAGCAACCTCTTATTTTGAAGCAACTTATTTTGAATCAACCTCTTATTTTGAAGCAACTTATTTTGAAGCAACCTCTTATTTTGAAGCAACCTCTTATTTTGAAGCAACCTCTTATTTTGAAGCAACCTCTTATTTTGAAGCAACCTCTTATTTTGAAACAACTTCTTATTTTGAAACAACCTCTTATTTTGAAGCAACCTCTTATTTTGAAGCAACCTCTTATTTTGAAGCAACCTCTTATTTTGAAGCAACCTCTTATTTTGAAGCAACCTCTTATTTTGAAGCAACCTCTTATTTTGAAGCAACTTCTTATTTTGAAGCAACCTCTTATTTTGAAGCAACTTATTTTGAATCAACCTCTTATTTTGAAGCAACTTATTTTGAAGCAACCTCTTATTTTGAAGCAACCTCTTATTTTGAAACAACTTCTTATTTTGAAGCAACTTATTTTGAATCAACCTCTTATTTTGAAGCAACTTATTTTGAAGCAACCTCTTATTTTGAAGCAACCTCTTATTTTGAAACAACCTCTTATTTTGAAGCAACTTATTTTGAATCAACCTCTTATTTTGAAGCAACTTATTTTGAATCAACCTCTTATTTTGAAGCAACCTCTTATTTTGAAGCAACCTCTTATTTTGAAGCAACCTCTTATTTTGAAGCAACCTCTTATTTTGAAACAACTTCTTATTTTGAAGCAACCTCTTATTTTGAAGCAACCTCTTATTTTGAAGCAACCTCTTATTTTGAAGCAACCTCTTATTTCGAAGCAACCTCTTATTTTGAAGCAACCTCTTATTTTGAAGCAACTTCTTATTTTGAATCAACCTCTTATTTTGAAGCAACCTCTTATTTTGAAGCAACCTCTTATTTTGAATCAACTTCTTATTTTGAAGCAACCTCTTATTTTGAAGCAACTTATTTTGAAGCAACCTCTTATTTTGAAGCAACTTCTTATTTTGAAGCAACCTCTTATTTTGAAGCAACCTCTTATTTTGAAACAACTTCTTATTTTGAAGCAACCTCTTATTTTGAAGCAACTTCTTATTTTGAAGCAACCTCTTATTTTGAAGCAACCTCTTATTTTGAAGCAACCTCTTATTTTGAAGCAACTTCTTATTTTGAATCAACCTCTTATTTTGAAGCAACCTCTTATTTTGAAGCAACCTCTTATTTTGAAGCAGCCTCTTATTTTGAAACAACTTCTTATTTTGAAGCAACCTCTTATTTTGAAGCAACTTCTTATTTTGAAGCAGCCTCTTATTTTGAAGCAACCTCTTATTTTGAAGCAACCTCTTATTTTGAAGCAACCTCTTATTTTGAAGCAACCTCTTATTTTGAATCAACCTCTTATTTTGAAGCAACCTCTTATTTTGAAGCAACTTCTTATTTTGAAGCAACCTCTTATTTTGAAGCAACCTCTTATTTTGAAGCAACCTCTTATTTTGAAGCAACCTCTTATTTTGAAGCAACCTCTTATTTTGAAGCAACTTATTTTGAAGCAACCTCTTATTTTGAAGCAACTTATTTTGAAGCAACCTCTTATTTTGAAGCAACCTCTTATTTTGAAGCAACCTCTTATTTTGAAGCAACCTCTTATTTTGAAGCAACTTATTTTGAATCAACCTCTTATTTTGAGAAAATATAGCTGCAGCCTTTATGTGGCCAGATTTGTTTCTAAACTGAATATCAATTATTTAGTCTTGTGGAATTATACAGCATAAAATTCAGAATACGAGTATAACTACAAAAAAAATATAAGAAGACTAAAAAAATAACGAAAAACTGCTCTCTTATAGCGGGATAAAATTTGAAAAAAAAAAATATTAGCTTAGTATACCTATAGTAAAAAAAAAATGCGTGCAACACTGACAAAATAAAAAATAAAAACACTCTTATTTCTAACATACGTACATGTCCGTTTTCTTTTATCAATGAATTTATGAAACTCGTTATATTTGATGTTTTTCAGTGTTTTAATCAGTGAAACATATAAGTTTTGTAGATGTAGAGACCGCAAATGTTGAACTTCTTGAATGTGTTGAATTAATTTCCCTGGTTCTCTTGTATGAGGCTATTGTTACTTGCACCAAGGTTGAACTCGAGTTCCTGGAGCCCATTTTACATCCTAGCCACTGACAATGATGAGCTTAGACCCATAAAAATAATAATAATAATAGTAATAATAATAATAATAATAATAATAATAATAATAATAATAATAATAATAATAATAATAATATTGATAATAATAATCTATTTCTACAAGTGCATGTACAACGTATACAGGCCTAGCTGACATTAATGACACACTTGTATTAATTATTATGTGAAAAAATTACCTCCGTGAGGTTTACAAGGTATTGCCTAAATTATTACCTGCAAGTAATATGGGCGAGGTAAGTGGGACTTAGCTACAGTAGGTCGTAGAACTGTCACTCCCTCGATGCCCACTACATTACCACTCTAACAAAAAGCTAGACCTGACATTAAATTAATAATTACAATAATAATACTAGCTACTCTGGTAATTTAAAATTATATGGAGTGTATATTTTGATTTATTTGCTGGATACACAGAATATAACTGTTAGTACAATTGTTGAATGACTTTATTGATGATTCTTGGTAGCGGGGAGTAATGATAAAGGCTTTGGAGGCGTCTTATTTTATTTGCAATGTCGTGGGATACACAGGCAGTGTGTTAAGTGCCCTTGGCCCTGGAGGGGCATGCCCAGCGAGGGAGAGAGGAGTCAGCCCTGTTGAATGAGTGAAGTGAGCGGCCAGAGTGAGGAAGAGGCAGGTGTGGGCATACTGAAGTGGTAGGCCTATAGGTGGCAGCACGAATATGAACTCAGCTGGCAGACAGCATGGGCTCTCTATGCAGACAGTACAGGCTGTCTACATTTGCTTGGCCACCTACCATATGGTCATCCCTGACCATGACTGGCTATAAAAAACTCGGTCTCTCTCTAGCAGGAACAGAGCACAGAACACAAAATAAAAACATATATATATGTATACATGGACATGGAAAAAAAAAACTTCCTACAGGGAGGGAAGAAAAAAACAGGTGGGGTGTGCTAAACATCATAGTCATAGGCAGTGAGCGTCGATGGCCATCACTGCACGCCTTCCTGCATCTGGACAGATACTGCAACACAGGAGACATCGCTGCGGCTGAGCTGTAACGTAACAGGGTACGGTCTCCTCTGGAACGGTGAAGCAGTCATCATAGGAATCGCTGCAGGTTTCACTCAACCTGGGGCACAACCTGCTGGTGCCCTCGAGTGAGGCGTCGTCAGTACTCGGCAACTGGGCAGGACTTCTTCTGGCAAGCAACTCAGGAGGACATTTCTCAACTGGTACTGTCGTTGGGGCTGTCACTGCCGGCGAGCGTGGAGTGAGTCGTGGCAGTGAGTTGTGGCAGAGACGACTCGGCGAAACATCTGGGAGTCGTAACATCATACACTGTACTGTGTACCCCACGACATTGCAATTAAAGTAAGAAGCCTCCGAAGCCTTTATCATTACTCCCCACTACCAAGAATCTTCAATAAAGTCATTCAATATTGGTGGCAGCAGTGGGATGCTGTGGCGTGGAGTCCCAGGGATGCCACTTACAATTCTCGAAGGAATTCGGTAAAGTTCGGTCAAATCTGCTTGTACCTGTGTCTGGATGCTGAAACGTACGACATCAGGATAACTCATTGAGAGACGGATGCTTCTTGTGTGGAGTGATGAAGTGAAGATGACTTCATCCCTCTTCCTTCCTCTCCCCAGGCAAACACACCTGCTGCCCACCGCTGCCACCAATGTTTATGGGGTTTATTTGGTCGATTCATGCAGAGTGGGGTTAAATGATAAAAGCTTCGGAGGCTTCTTACTTTATTTGCAATGTTGTGGGGTACACAGGCAGTGTGTTAAGTGCCCATGGCCTGGGAGGGCCATGCCCAGCGAGGGAGAGAGGAGTCAGCCCTGTTGACTGAGTGAACTGAAACAAATCTCGATGGGAATCGCAGCAGGTACGATTCTTCATCGAGATTTGTTTCACTTCTCTCAGTCAACAGGGCTGACTCCTCTCTCCCTCGCTGGGCATGGCCATCCCGGGCCATGGGCACTTAACACACTGCCTATGTACCCCACAACATTGCAAATAAAGTAAGAAGCCTCCGAAGCCTTTTTCATTGAACCCTGCTCTGCATGAATCGACCAAATAAACCCCATAAACACAATAAATATAATACAATAGTGTAATTAGAAAGGAAATCCGTACTACCACTTACCATTTAATTACTGGATCACAATTTTCATTTGTAACACATCCTAATGCTACCCTAATAGCTAGAGTTTATGAGAGCCAATGCTAAACTACCATACATTATGGGTTAGCATCGGTTAGCTAAGGTGTGCTGCTGGGAAGAATCGGAGTCCTCTATTTTTCCATCCTTGTTGCCGAATTGTAAGGGTTTCCCACACTATCCCAATTCTTCACACATTATATTCACTATGTTGTCCCCCCTCTCCAAGTCACTCTGCCGCTGTTCCACATCCCCCTCTCCCTCAAAATTTCTCAAAGGGTCAAACCAGTATCACATATTAATACACAATTATTCACACATTATTAAAATTTACAAATGCTGAATTTAGGAAAATTCAAAATTTTCCACAACACTGCCGAATAGAAAGCCCCTTGTTATGCAGAGCATTTCGGGCAAATTAGGTCGATTGTCCCCAGGATGCGACCCCCACTAGTTGTCTAACACCCAGGTACCTGTTTTACTGATAGATGAACATGGACAGCAGGTGTCTTAAGGAAACACGTCCTAATGTTTCCACTCGTGCCGAGTATTGAACCACGGACTTCAGTGTGTGAGGTGGGTGTGCTACCAGTCAAGCTACAGTACACCTAAACATCCATAAAAAATGTATTTGCAAATCACAGAACGGATGGGGGCTTGTTCTTTGATTTGTTAGCAATCGTGTTGTTGCGATTTCGTGAATTATGTATGTGCAAATAATACAACAGAAGGGAACTAAATGCATAATGACTTACTTGTCATTATTAAACATCCCCTGAGAGGAGGTAACCTACAATGGTTGTTCCAGTTCTCTATTTTTTTTATTTCTTTCCCTCCATCTTCTGCATGGTTTTTGTGGGATGACTTGAGAATGTATCTTCTGATCTGCTTGAAACTTTCAGGCAGTTAATCAGTCTGCTCTAACAAATAATATGTCTTTGCCAAAACTCCCAGAATTATGTTTACCTGTATTTAATCCTGGTGAAAATTGGGAGGAATTTTGGTCAATTTTTAAAGCAGCTGTGAATGACAGGAGTGACCTAGCCTGTGTAACTAAATTATTTTACCTCAAAGGACAGGTAAGAGGAGATGCTCACATACTCATACAAGCCTTTCCCAATGTAGATGACTCTTACAAGGAAGCAGTTGACTTGTTGAAAGTCACTTATGGTAATATAGAACAAAGTAGGTTGGATCTAGTGAATATCATTATTAATTTAAATTCTCCAGATCACACTTACAAAGGTTTACAGCAGTTTAAAGTTAAACTGGAGAGCACTCTCAAAACATTAAGTAATAAATATAATCTGAAGGAATCAGACTGGTTATTGAGTGCCATGGTACAGAATAAATTAAGCTGTAAAACACTTGAATGGCTCTCGAATAAATATCACAAAGGTTATTTTGGTCTGGAGGAAATAAGAATAGGTCTACAAGAATTAATTGTTCAGTTGCAGACCAGCCAACCAACTCATTTTAAAGATTCAACACATAATAATTCTGAGGTATCTGTCAAGTTTCACAAAGGGAAAAATTATACCAATAGTAACAATCAAAATTCATTTCCTAAAAAGAGTTGCATAGGTGCATATCAAGTAGCAGGAATCAGAAATAATGATTCTCCACAAGGTAAGAATAATAAGCACCCTCCTAAGAGTAGCCCAGTTAATAAGAAACCAAAGAAAGGAGAGATTGTCTCTTCTGCAAGGGTACTCATTTTTCTAGGAATTGCAATGCATACAATTCATGGAATGATAAAGTTGAAAGATTAGAGGAACTTGACAGATGTATCAGATGTTTGGGTAATCACAATGTAAAGGATTGTTATGCCAAATTAAACTTCTGTTATCAATGTCACAAAGGAAGACACCATATAATCATGTGTAAAGGTCTATATGATAATGTTGATAATAATGATAATGTTGACAATCCTGACACAACAGTGGCTAATGTAAAAATTGCTGCTAATGTTAATAATGATGGTTTTGCTGAAGTAGCCTTACCTGTGTTAGTAAAAATTGATGATAAAAGGCATAAATCAAAAATTGTAAATGCATTATTGGACCAGGGATCCCAGCGTACTTTCATAAAACGTAAATGTCTTGATGGTATGAAAGTACAGATGGGAGATCCCACAACTTTAAAATTATCTGGTTTTCTCTCAGATAAAAGGGCTCAATTGTATGACACTGTTTAGGTAACTGTCAGGTTGGGCAATGAGAAAAAACGTGTTAATGCAGTAATTGTAGATTGACTTCCAGAGAAAATATCTACAGTAGGGCTTAGTAAAGCTACAGAAAGACTTTCACATAATGTAAATTTAGCACCTTCTGGGGTAAGTGATGATTCTGTAGGCCCAATAAATATTTTGATAGGTAGTGACTATTATGCCTCCTTTGTAAAGGGTATGGTAAATAAATGTGGTGTCACCCTTTTGAAGACTGCAGGAGGCCATGTAATGTATGGTAGGATTCCTCGTAATAATAATTCATGACTAGAGGAAACTACAAATACCATAACTGTGTGTCTTACTCATGAAGTCGTGCCCCAGTATAATTCTTTCATAGAGGATGGTGTTGAGCCAGTGCATAAATTGTGGGAATTAGACAGCATTGGAATAAATGTAAATGAAGAAAGTCCAGACGATTCTTTTACTCAAGAACAATACCTGAAAGATGTAAAATTTGAATCTGGACAATACTGGGTACGACTTCCGTGGAGACTGAACCATCCAGAATTGCCCACTAATTACAGAATGGCATATGGGCAGTTAAAAGCTCAGCTCCGTGAACTGAGTAAGACACGAGAATTGCTAACTGCCTATAATGATATAATTGCTGAGCAGTTAATTAATAAATTTATAGAAGAGGTACCTCCTGAGCAAGCCAAAATTTATGGTCACTATTTGCCACATCACGGAGTGAAGAAGGATTCTAAGACCACTCCTTTGAGGATTGTGTTTAATTGTAGTGCCAGGAGTAACAAAAATGTACCTAGTTTAAATGACTGTTTGATGACAGGTCCGTCGTTGACGGAAAAATTAGGAGATATCTTATTAAATTTCAGGATGAAAAATTATGCCTTTATGGCTGACGTAA